CCAGACCTGACCACTTCAGGTCCACATGTGCTCTACCTGAGGTTGTGATCACACTACTCTGTGTGTGGGACCTGACTCCTCTGATTCTCCAACAAACAAGATGCCGAAAAGTACTGAGAAGTCTGGAGCTCAGCTGCCTCTCTTTGTTCCAGCCAGCAGCTCTCAGGGAGATCTGTTCAGGAAGAGCACCACCTCCCTGGCCAAGATCGCTGTTGTCCTCCAAGGTGCTCCAGGCAAGATGCTCACTTTTAGTCAGGTAAGAAAGAGTCCAGACGTTTTACAATGAATGTTCAAGAATACTGTGGTATGAAACACAGATGGTCATTTCAAAAACTTAATTTCCACCTGATGTTTTTCAGCTGATGGACAGACTGACATCATTAACATCATTACTCTATGAAGACAGGAAATCTGTTGAGAACAACATCAGAGTTTGTTTATCAACCAACACATGTTTTGTCAAGGTAAGTTTTCATTCCCAAACTGTTGATATTTCAAATTAACATTTTGATTATTTTATTAAAGAACTTAACTTCTGTCTCTATAACCCTGTTCTGTATATTTCAGATTCCACCGGTTCCTGATTTACTGGACAGTAAGAGAAACTACTGGAAACTGGACCCCAGTCAGATCACAGCAAAGATGGTGCGTCGTCACTTCAAAGGGATCCTGCAGCTCTTCCCTGAGTTGGCCTCCAAAGTGGAAACGGAGAACACGAGCAGACCATCAGAGCACTGCTCAGCTCTCCAATCTCCTGAGCCTGCAGCCTGCAGAGATGTTCAGATCAAATGTGAGGTGAAGTTCAGCAGTCCTTTCTCCATTGAATCCCTCCTGAAGAGAGACAGTCCCTCTGCTCGGGCCTCCAGAGCTTCTCCTCTGTCCACTGTGCCGGTCAGAGTGGAGCAGCAGCCTCCGTCCACACACAGACTAGTTGGGACAAAGAGGAGCTTCAGATGGAACTCTGAGGAGCCTCTCCTCCTTCAAGCTTCAGCTGGAAGTTCCCCCATCTGCTCAACAGGGGGCAGCACACACCACGGACTCACTGCTACTGGATCTGCTCAGCCCATCAACAGGATGAATGTGTGCACTTGGTCCTCATTTCCTGTCTACACAAGAGCCAGTGTTGCTCCTTATTTCACCAGCACGCAAAGCCCTTACATCACTTACTCTGTACCCACATTTACCCATGATGCTCTCCGGTTCTGGCTGTAAAGTGTTTGGTACCTGACATACCGTGCTTTCTGCAGCACTGTGTTGTTTTATAAAATGTTTTGTAATAAAAAGTAAAAAAACAATTGAAGCTTTTGTTGTTTTCAATAAGATCAGTAATATTAGTCATCAAGAGGATTAGTCCTCGTTAACAGCACACATTTTGACTTGTCATAGTGGAAAAGCACAGTAGTTACTCATAACATTAACGATGGCTCTGTTCTATTCAAGTGCTCCAGTAAGTTGTGACAGTGAGTCAGTGAGTGCACAGTCAACTGAAACATCTCTATTATCATTATCATTTTCACCTGTGCTTTACCTACTGTGGAATGTCAGACTGTTGCCAATAAGTGTCAATCACAAAGGTCCTAAAACATAAATTAAATAATATTTTGACAGACTTGGGGTTTCTGTTCTGAAATGACACACATCTCTTTTATTCACCACAACCTGTGACTGTTTGCAAAAAAGAAACCGATCACACGTTGTTTTATGTAAAACTTTCATCTGTTAAGTATCCATTATGGTAGTCAGATAACTGTAGTTGGGTAAAATGTCCAATATTTCCCTCTGAGATGGAGTATATGTATGAAGTAGTTCAAATTGTAGCTCAAGTAAAGTACAAATACCTCCAAATTGTTTTCAAGCCCTGTATTTGAGTGCATGAATCACACAACACAATGTCATACTGTTTACATGTTTACTGTGTGTCTGGTCACCACACTGAATAACACAGTGGAGGTCAGATGAGGTGAAAAGCACTCAAATGTTGCCATAAGCTTTAATTTAAAAGCAGCATTGTTCTTGTCGGAATCACCCACATTCCAGTGTTTTTCACCTTATCACAGTTGATGTGTCTGATGGTAATTTCTTTGTGGAGGGACAAACTGGTTTTGCATCCACTAAATATGTATTAAGTTTCCTTAAAAACAAAAAGTTAACTGGAATGTATAGTGCGAACATTTCCACTTTGGCATTCTGTTCAGTCTGAAATGCTTGCTTTGGCCTTTGATGTGTACAGTTTTGGACACAAATAAAGGCATATAAATACACTTGCTATAGTGTTCTTTTGAGTTGTATTAAATGTGCCCATTTTTTTGTTTTAACTGATTCAGCCTTTAAAATTGTGCAAGTGACCAGTGATAAAAACCTGCTGCCAAGTGTTTCTAATAACAGGAAAGGTATCGTCTCATCTGTCTAACAGCTTCACTGCAATATTTATCTTTCCATCTAGAATTCATAATGTTTTTTTACACCCGTTGAAGACAATGAACATTTTTATTTGTGATTGCATTTTATTGTTGTTTTCCTTGGTAGTGAATGATTAATTTGCATCTCTTAGTGTTTTAATTAAGCTTCGGTTTGTTTGCATGCTACATTGCACACCAACTGGGGGGAAAACAACAACACAATTTTTTTTTTTTTTTTACTTTTTATTAAAAAAAGTGCTGCAGAAAGCTGGTATGCCAGGTACCAAACACTTTACAGCCAGAAACAGAGAGCATCATGGGTAAATGTGGGTACAGTGTAAGTGATGTAAGGGCTTTGCGTGCTGGTGAAATAAGGAGCAACACTGGCTCTTGTGTAGACAGGAAATGAGGACCGAGTGCACACATTCATCCTGTTGATGGGCTGAGCAGCTCCAGTAGCAGTGAGTCCGTGGTGTGTGCTGCCCCCTGTTGAGCAGATGGGGGAACTTCCAGCTGAAGCTTGAAGGAGGAGAGGCTCCTCAGAGTTCCATCTGAAGCTCCTCTTTGTCCCAACTAGTCTGTGTGTGGACGGAGGCTGCTGCTCCACTCTGACCGGCACAGTGGACAGAGGAGAAGCTCTGGAGGCCCGAGCAGAGGGACTGTCTCTCTTCAGGAGGGATTCAATGGAGAAAGGACTGCTGAACTTCACCTCACATTTGATCTGAACATCTCTGCAGGCTGCAGGCTCAGGAGATTGGAGAGCTGAGCAGTGCTCTGATGGTCTGCTCGTGTTCTCCGTTTCCACTTTGGAGGCCAACTCAGGGAAGAGCTGCAGGATCCCTTTGAAGTGACGACGCACCATCTTTGCTGTGATCTGACTGGGGTCCAGTTTCCAGTAGTTTCTCTTACTGTCCAGTAAATCAGGAACCGGTGGAATCTGAAATATACAGAACAGGGTTATAGAGACAGAAGTTAAGTTCTTTAATAAAATAATCAAAATGTTAATTTGAAATATCAACAGTTTGGGAATGAAAACTTACCTTGACAAAACATGTGTTGGTTGATAAACAAACTCTGATGTTGTTCTCAACAGATTTCCTGTCTTCATAGAGTAATGATGTTAATGATGTCAGTCTGTCCATCAGCTGAAAAACATCAGGTGGAAATTAAGTTTTTGAAATGACCATCTGTGTTTCATACCACAGTATTCTTGAACATTCATTGTAAAACGTCTGGACTCTTTCTTACCTGACTAAAAGTGAGCATCTTGCCTGGAGCACCTTGGAGGACAACAGCGATCTTGGCCAGGGAGGTGGTGCTCTTCCTGAACAGATCTCCCTGAGAGCTGCTGGCTGGAACAAAGAGAGGCAGCTGAGCTCCAGACTTCTCAGTACTTTTCGGCATCTTGTTTGTTGGAGAATCAGAGGAGTCAGGTCCCACACACAGAGTAGTGTGATCACAACCTCAGGTAGAGCACATGTGGACCTGAAGTGGTCAGGTCTGG